GGGGAGAACACCACGCGTTCGGGTAAAATGATTGTTGTTTGTTGTTTGTTGTTGTTGTTGCTGCTGTTGCTGTTGCTGTTGCTGTTGCTGTTGTTGAACATTATTCCTTCTAAAGAATTATTATTGTTGGGACCCCTGGTGCGCGACCTCTGCGCCGCGCCTAGGCCGCAGCTACATTTTCGTCATTTTTTCGCGAAAGCTTCAGAAAAGTGGATGAGCTCCGGATCGGGTTTTTTGTTGACGCTCGTTTTCCCTTGCAACAAACAGTAGAAAATGAAAATTCTTGTTTTTACTTGATCAAATTGCAAGAATCCCTTGCAAAAAATAAGGTAAAGTGGACATTCGCGCTCGCAAGACGAAATCCTTCCAAAACCTTAGGTTTCGTAACGATTTTAACATAAAAACATCAAAAACCCAATGGCTTTTAAGAAAAAGTTGTCAAAATGTCCTTCCGCGCGCTCTTGCGGATTCATAGGAAACACACCACTTTTTAAACATTTCTGTCAAAAGGGTCTTTGCGTGCTACTTCTTCAGGTGCTTTGAACTTCTCCAACAACGGTTGCGCGCCTGCGAGGGCCACCATCCCTTGCAAAAAATGAGACGAAGTGCACATGCGCGCGGCCGCCGCTCTGCTTGTACATACGTATAATTTCAGAACTTACCGTGCATGCGATCGTTTACAACATGGTGGACCGTGCGTATGTCACGAACCTTGTATACATGTGTTTCTCTCCCTCCGTCTGGCTGTGCACGCGCGCGTTGGGCACTGAGAGTTAGGATCATAGCGCCATGAGTCTATGAGCAATGCATGCGTCATCCTTGGGACTGTATAACATCAGTGTAACACATGTACTTCTGTAATCGCATCCCCACGAATTTGCCCCAAAAATGTGACCAACTATCTTGGCACTGCGTACCATCTCACGTGTACCGTGTACCACATCATATGTAACAGATGTGATCAACCTCTGTGGGTGTGTACCCCACGCCAGTGTAGTAGCCAGGGTCGTCCGCACGCCACGAAGTGAAGTGTCCCAACGTCATAGGGCGGGAAGCTGGGTGTGGGTGGTCTCGAAGAGTCGTTTGGATATTTGGTAGAGCTTGAACGGCCCCCCCACGAAGTGGGGGTATTGGCTGGTGTCGCAAGAAAACCCTGGCACTGGGGAGAACACTGAGCGTTCGGGTAAAATGATTGTTGTTGTTGTTGTTGTTGTTGCTGCTGTTGTTGTTGTTCGCGAGGACACTACTGGAGGCCCGTTGCTCGACCCCCCCCCTCCGAGCAACACCACGGGGCCACGCACGGACCCTGCAGGGCCCCTGGTCCGACCAACGCCACGAGGCCTCGCCAGGCCGCTGCGGGGGTCTGCAGGGCCCGGCGGCGTTGCTCGGCAGGTCCTTTCGGGACTGCTGCGGACCCCCATACAGGCCCCAAAGGGCGCACCCCTCTCACGGATCGTGGCCCTGGCCCCACAGGGAGCTCCACCGAGGTTTGATTTGGGCACACCCCTCTCGAGGATCGTGGCTCAGTGAGCTCCACCGAAGCTTGGTTTCGGCGCACCCCTCTCACGGATCGTGGCCCTGGCCCCACAGGGGGCTCCACCGAGGCTCCATTTCGGCACACCCCTCTCGAGGATCGTGGCCCTGGCCCCACAGGGAGCTCCACCGAAGTTTGATTTCGGCGCGCCCCTTTCACGGATCGTGGCCCTGGCCCCACAGGGAGCTCCACCGAGGCTTTATTTCGGCACACCCCTCTCGAGGATCGTGGCCCTGGCTCCACAGAGAGCTCCTCAGAGGCTTCATTATGGTACACCCCTCTCGAGGATCATTTTGGCACACCCCTCTGCAGGGTCCTGCACGATTCCATCGGAACCGTCGACGGAGCCTATAGGATCCTTACAGGGTCCTGCACGGTTCCATCGGAATCCTATAGGGATCCTATAGGATCCTTACAGGGTCCTGCACGACTCCATCGGAGTACTATAAGGAGGAACCCATAGGATCCTTACAGGGTCCTGCACGATTCCATCGGAACCCTATTAGGGGGAACCCATAGGATCCTTACGGAGTCCTGCACGTTTCCATAGGAACACCCTATAGGGATCCCATGGGATCCTTACAGAGTCCTGCACGATTCCATAGGAACCCCAGAGGGATCCCATAGGATCCTTACAGGGTCCGGCACGATTCCATAGGAACCCTAGAGGGATCTCATAGGATCCTTACAGGGTCCTGCGCGATTCCACAGGAACCCTGGAGGGATCATATAGGATCCTTACAGGGTCCAACAGGTTTCCATCGGAACCCTAGAGGGATCTTATAGGATCCTTACAGGGCCCTGCACGATTCCATAGGAACCCTATAGGGATCTTCTAGGATCCTTACAGGGTCCTGCACGATCCCATAGGAACCCTATAGGGATCCCATAGGATCCGCACAGGGTCCTGCACGATTCTATAAGAATCCTATAGGGGTCTTATAGGATCCTTACAGGGTCCTACAGGATTCCATCGGAACCCTATAGGGATCCGATAGGATCCTCACAAGGCCCTGCAGGATTCCATCGGAACTCTATAGGGATCCCATAGGATCCTTACAGGGTCCTGCGCGATTCCATCGGAACCCTAGAGGGATCTTATAGGATCCTTACAAGGTCCTGCACGGTTCCATAGGAATCCTATATGGGGTCCTATAGGGTCAGTGCACGGTCCTGCACGATTCCATAGGAATCCTATAGGAATCCTATAGGATCTTTACAGGTCCTGCATGATTCCATAGGAGTACTATAAGGAGGAACCTATAGGATCCTTACAAGGTCTTGCACGATTCCACCGGAACCTCAGAGGGATCCCATCGGATCCTTACGGAGTCCTGCACGTTTCCATAGGAACCCTAGAGGGATCCCATAGGATCCTTACAGGGTCCTGCACGATTCCATCGGAACCCTAGAGGGATCCTCTAGGATCCTGACAGGGCCCAACAGGTTCCCATTGGAACCTTATAATGATCCCATCGGATCCTTACAGGGTCCTGCACGATTCCATAGGAACCCTAGAGGGATCCTATAGGATCCTTACAGGGTCCGGCACGATTCCATAGGAACCCTAGAGGGATCCTATAGGATCCTTACAGGGTCCTGCACGATTCCATAGGAAGCCTGGGGGGACCCTATAGGATCCTCACAGGGTCCTGCACGATTCTATAGAAAGCTTATACGGATCCGATCGGATCCTTACAGGGTCCTACAGGATTCCGTCGGAACCTTCATAAGTGTCCTATAGGATCCTCACAGGGCCCTGCAGGATTCCATCGGAACCCTCTTGGGATCTTATAGGATCCTTACAGGGTCCTGCACGATTCCATAGGAACCCTATAGGGCTCCCATAGGATCCTTACAGGGTCCTGCTCGGCTGCATAGGAATCCTAGAGGGATCAGATAGGACCTTACAGGGCCCTGCACGATTCCATAGGAACCCTAGAGTGATCCTATAGGAACCTTACAGGGCCCTGCACGATTCCATAGGAGTCCTGTAGAGGAGGAACCTATAGGATCCTTACAGGGTCCTGCACGATTCCATAGGAACCCTAGAGGGATCCCATAGGATCCTTACAGGGTCCTGCACGGTTCCATAGGAATCCTATAGGGATCCTATAGGGTCCGTGCAGGGTCCTGCACGATTCCATAAGAATCCTATACGAATCCCATCGGATATTTACAGGTCCTGCATGATTCCATCGGAGTACTATAAGGAGGAACTTATAGGATCCTTACAGGGTCCTGCACGATTCCATCGGAACCCTAGAGGGATCCTCTAGGATCCTGACAGGGCCCAACAGGTTCCCATAGGAGCCCTAGAGGGATCCTATAGGATCCTTACAGGGTCCTGCACGATTCCATCGGAACCCGAGAGGGATCCTCCAGGATCCTGACAGGGCCCAACAGGCTCCCATTGGAACCTTATAGGGATCCGATAGGATCCTCACAGGGCCTTGCACTATTCCATAGGAACCTTAGAGGGATCCTCTAGGATCCTTACAGGGTCCTGCACGATTCCATCGGAACCCTATGGGGATCCTATCGGATCCTTACAGGGCCCTGCACGATTCTATAGGAACCCTAGAGGGATCCCATAGGATCCTTACAGGGTCCTGCACGATTCCATAGGAACCCTAGAGGGATCCAATAGGAACCTTA